TTGTTTTCTTTCTACTATAAAATCAATAGAAAAAAAAGTTCTTTATGGCTACTGGTCTGCCTTTGTTCCCGATACACCTGAACTCGGAAGCCCACAGTCTGTGTCCTTGATGACTCTTACATTAAAGGATCCTTCTCCAAAGGTAAGAACTTTTAAGCTTTACAATAGGAAGAAAAAATTTACAAATTTTTTTTTTTTCCTCTGCCTAATCTGAGTTTATCTGAACACTGCTCTTATTAATATTAAGCCAAGTCCTTACTTGAGAACACTTGACAGACAGGAGGATAGAAAAGGGGCTTCTAATGGACGGGGAGGCATATGCTAAAAATCACATTGAGGTGGCCTCCTGCCCTAGGGCTTGCTGACGGCCTGAACACACTGAGTTATAACTGAAGCAACTGTGCTCTCTTCCTTTTCTGAAAATGTTGATTTTTGAAGTGTTGTTTATAATAGCAAAAAGTCAGAAATGGTTTAAACAACTTAGTGGAATATCATGGCACATAGTAGTTAGGAAGGATGTGTAAGTCTTCGAAAAATACTATGTTTTGTGAAAACACAGGATATAGAATTGTACGTACAGTATGATCACAGCTATGATTTTCTTATAACTTTTCTGTGTTTTTCAAATCACATGTAATGTTTACATATTTTCATGAGAGAAACTTATTTTTTAAAAAAGAAGATGGCAGAGAAGTGGCTTGGCAGTTGTGGATAGCTACAGCAAGATATCCCATATTTGCCTCTTCTTGGATATTAACTCCTCTCTGAAAGTTAGCCTCTTAAGTAAGGAAAAGATCTGCTACTTAGGTACTCTTTACAATAACGAGCATAGAGAGTCATGCTGAATGGCATCTGGAGTCTTCAGGTAACCAACTGCCCTCTCAAAATGAATAGTTCGAATTAGGCCAATAGTATTCCTTTTGTATTTTTAAGGTATTCCCTTTTAAAAAAAAAGAGTAATACTTCACAGTGCATTGGAACTGCCTATGATCGTCTCCTTGAATAGCTAATTACTACAGAAGAAAATTTCCAGATAACCCTTCATGGTGAAGAAAAATAAGTTAGCCCAATTTATACACCAGAATGCCTTGTAGGGCATTTCAAATGCTGAGTACGTTGGAAAAGCTCTGTATCCTAAGTAGTTAAACCAGCAGAAATGTTTCATATAGACTGAATCAGTATGAAATAAGAACCTGGGAGAAAAAATGGAAAATGAGTGGTGGTAATTAAATAAGTGTAATGAAGCCATAGTAGTAATTGAGAGGAAAACTACTATAAAGTAGTTTACTTGAAGACGCACGAGCTGGGGGCCACTGCTGGCAGTGGCCAAGGAGATGGTGCCGTGGAGCAAGTAGCAACCCAAGTTACCACCACACTGCACCTACCCAGACTGAGGGGATGTGGAACACAGGGGTTTGGGATATGAATACAGAGAGGTTATAAGGTCGTATCTTAGGAAACTAGACTGAAATA